AGCCAGCGCAGCTGAGGAGATGGGAATGTGGGCCAGTTCGGGGCAGTCGGTCCTTAGGCGAGAACGCTGCTGCTGCCGTAGCAGCGGGGACAGGTGTGTCCGAGGTTACACGCTTCCTCTGGCCCCTCACCCTCCTCGGCTGGGCCACAGCTGCTCTGCTTAGCATTCCCGTGACACACCTTTCCTGTCTTTATTGATCTGCTGGCGTTCATACTCCAGCCCCTCTTGACAAGAAGAGGAACATTTTTGGAGGCTTTGCCTGTCTGAATATGTTTTTAAAAATATATTAGCCCTGGCTGGTGTGGCTCAGTGGATAGAGCGTCGACCTGCACACCAAAGGGTCCAGGTTTGATTCTGGTCAAGGGCACGTACCTCGGTTGGAGGCTCCTCCCCCGCCCAGGCCCTGGTCAGGGCTCGTGCTGGAGGCAACCCATCGATGTGTTTCTCTCACATCGGTGTTTCTCTCTGTCTTTCCCTCTCTCTAAAGTCAATGGAAAAATATCCTCAGGCCCTAGCCAGTTTGGCTTAGTGGATAGAGCGTCGGCCTGTGAACTAAGGGTCCTGGGTTCAATTCCGGTCAAGGGCACATGCCCGGGTTGTGGGCTCCATGCCCAGGAGGCAGCCAATCAATGATTCTCTCTCATCACTGATGTTTCTAACTCTCTCTCCCTTTCCCTTCCTCTCTGAAATCAATAAAAATGTATTTTGAAAAAGAAAGAAAAATATCCTCGGGTGAGGATTAACCAAAAAACAAACAAAATGCCCTCAAAAAAGGACTCAGGTTTTCTTTCACAGAGAGTCGCTTCTATTTGGTATAGGAATAATATCTTACCTAATAATAGACAAACATGCAAATTGACCGTACCTTCGCTGCACCTTAAGCCACGCCCACCAGCCAACCAGAGTGACTATATGCAAATTAACCCAACCAAGATGGCGGCCAGCAGCCATGGAGCTGGAGCGAGCAGGAGGCTTGTTTGCTCCAGTGATGGAGGAAGCCAGCCTGCCGCCGGCTCTGAGCTCCACTCAAAAGCAACAAAGTTTCAATTATAGAAGGTAAATAAACCCCAGATACCTGCTTCCAGTAGCCATGGTCACGGAGCTGGAGCAAATAAAAAGAAAACAAAAAAAGGAAAGGCTGGGAGCTTCAGTCGCCAGGGGCCTTGGTCAGTCTGAAAACAGCCATTAGCCCCTCACCCAGGCTGACCAGGCACCCCAGTGGGGACCCCCACCCTGAAGGGGGTTTGGGCAGCCTGCACACAGCCATCAGCCCCTCACCCAGGCTGGCCAGGCACCCCAGCGGGACCCCCACCCTAATCCAGGACACCCTTCAGGGCAAACCAGTTGGCCCCCACCCATGCACCAGGCCTCTATTCTATATAATAAAAGGGTAATATGCAAAATTAACCCTAACAGCAGAACGACTGGGAATCACTGGTCACTATGACACACACTGACCACCAGGGGGCAGACGCTCAATGCA